CGTCGGGCAACAATCGCGAATGCGGCGCACTTGTGACAATAAGCAAAGGTCATTATAGTGTTACGACCATACGACGTACGGGAATGAGTTATCAGCTGTCTAATCGTAGACAACACAATGTCGAGCCTTAAACTGTAAGCCCGTATTGGTATTGTTTCTTTTATTTGGCTGTCGAACATTATTTATGGTTTGAAATATGATTTTATGTAAAATAATTGATATGAAAAAGCCGTCTTATAAGTTATGACCCCATTTCACCACACGCAAGTGGCAGAAATGACAATGATCAGCTGACGCATTTTTCTTGGCCGAAGTCAGAGCGCGCGGCCCGACGCACCACGCGTATTTGGAAATTCCGACCTCGACGAGCATCAGAAGCCACCTAACAGGCGTGTTCGAAACCGCAGGAGATGATGATGAACGGGTTTATCGAAACTTGATTGGATGAGCATATCGGTAATAGCGATTTCAGTGTGTGCATTTATTGTTCATAGTGGTGTGAAATGTGGTTGGGGTACGACCGACAACCCGTCGGGGCGAATTTCGCACTGGGGTACTCAAAATTTGAAGAATTTAAGACGTTTCCATGAGTTTTGAAGGTATGGATAAGTTCTAAAAATCCGGTTCTCCTTATCTGGGCCATTAACTCCATACGGTCCAAGAAAGCTGGCACACTACCTTTAAGCAGAAATCAACCCAACTATTGAACACCAAGTCACGAAGGCAGGCAAATGCAGGTCCCCCTTTTCATACAGGTGCCAGTCTGCTGGCTGCGTGAGTACCTGTCAGGTAAATGTTTATACTGAGCACATCATTTACATGCAGATTATTAACGACTGTTCCTTCAAACGTGTTGTTGTACCTACAATATACAAGACACGATATATCGCCAATGTCTTTTATCTTTGTCAGTCGTATGTCTACAGTGAAATACGATTTTATCACCCCTGTTTATATAAATAGGCTCGATCTATTTGATTGGCATAGTTGACAGAAGTGCCCTCAATCAGGGGCACATGTGGGTGAGCGTGAAGTGTGTACTTCGCTGGGGGTCTCATGCCAGCAGCAGTCATTTGAAACGGTTCAGCTGCCCTCCATGCTCGCATCATCAATTTACGGAGGCGGGGTAACATACGCGTAGGCGGTGCAGTGGGGGGCACCACTCAACGCTAACTCATTAAGTATAAACACTGATATCAGCTAGGGTCTCGGCTGATTGATGAAGTACATCCTGCTAACTGTCGTGTTAGAGAGGCTGATAGACGGATTATGCGCAGATCAAAGGGACGCGACTCTTACTTTACAATTAAAAAATCGATGGGTTACCCTAATATTATTGTTTAAACTTTCAAAGGACGATGCAAAAACATACAAGCAATTGCTTAAACTTTTCCTGTGCATTTCAATTGGCTGTCAATTGGAAATATCACAGCAGTGGAATGGTCACTAAATAAGCCGGCGTGAATAGCCTAAAAATACATATGATAAATTAGCAGGGAAATTAATATTTTTTCTTGCTATGGCAGCACCCGACGGCGAAGCTGTCACTGGTGACACGGAATATATGTATAGTCTACGACAGACTATTTATTTCTATTTATTGTCGTCTATTTATCGACAGTCTATTTAAGCGGATAAAAACAACACCTAAGACTGTCGTAGCCTAGTTATACATTCCGTGCTGGTGATAAGTTAAGTGCGAACACAACTGATATTACCCGAAACTTGCTGGAAGAAACCGATACCAAACATCATGTGTGAATCATGTGTGAACTCTACAAGAAACTCAGGACCAAATGACAATTTACGAAAAACAGTAATCTCTCAAAGTTGAAACAAAGGAATGATGACTTGTCCAGTTTAAAGCTGTGTTCAAAGATTTATAGTACCCATTAATTTCATCGAGGCTCCCATTCCTCTAAATTTTGGATTATGATGTTATTCCTTAGGTGAAATAAAGGTACCATACGTTCTACGTCTAGCGGACCCCGGGAGAACGCTGTTGAATTGAAACACACCATTCACTAACGCGTGGAAAACGGAAAATACACTTCGGTGAGATGCAACTTTCCCAGCCTTCGTTCAGCTTAGGTATGTCAGTAGATTTTACAATACTGCGTAAGGTTTTCGGACTTGATTTGAAATGAGCCTTCTTGCCAATGCGTTGCAAGTAAAGCGAATCAAGCGGAACTCCTTGCTGACCTTTGCCTTATAGCAAAACGTCATCCCGGATGTGCAGTTAACCCGCGCACCGTTGAGGTCTGGCAGGTTCCAGGTCCTGTTTGGGGGGGGGTCAAAGGGCGACCCATCGTATCTCCGGAACCAATAGTCGGATCGGAAAAATTCAAACGGCATTCGAGAGAGCTCATCGAGATGCAGGAGATGCAATATCGGTCGGTGCCCCAGAAAATGTTTGTGGGGCAGGGCAGTGCCGGTTGCAGCATTTGGGGAAAGTTTTTTGCAACCCTATCTCTGAAATGTATTCTGTTTGTCTATTCATTCAGATTTCAAAAAAAAAAAACTCAGAAAATCTACAGATTAAGTTAGAATGTCAAAAGATCTTGATAGAATGTTAAAAGATTTTCATGTTTTGTAAAGTTTGAGATAGCCATTTTGTTTGCCATGTTTTTTTTGTATCTATGGTTCAGTTTTCTAGCCTCTAGGTTGATATCCTGATATTCTGTGTTTTTTTTTGTCGTGAACAACTTTTTAACTTTTTTCGGCCAAAAACTGCCGAACATGACCTCAGTTAAACCACTAAAACTTGTGGCCTGAAATGACCTAGAACATATTTTTTTTCAGCAGTTTTTTGAAATTGATGTTTGGAGAGGTACTGAAAATTTCGAGTCGAAATTTGCAGCCGTTTCTGAGTTAATCAGCGGAAAACCTTAGGGGGTAGCTCCTTGCCCCCTCCCCCAATGGATCTCGGGTTATTGAATAAACAGGTTTATATACACCGTTCCACTGAAGTAATGCATATCCCGGATCAACACTGGTGAATGTGAATGAGCAAACGTATTGTATTGCATTTCAATTCTTACTTTCATATGAGAGGCGCATTTCATTCTGCCAACGTGTTCCGCTCTAAGCTCGCCTGCCGTCCGAGTGAATCGGCATGTAGTGCCCCGCGGCATGGTAATTGGTAATTTGATGAGACATTCCATCTATGGGCGCAAAATGACCTTGTAGTCGGTGCGCCCTTAACCCTCGCACGACCAGGCCATTTCTCATAACACGAACGACCAGGGGGGGGGGTTGTTACGACCCCCCCCCTGGCGTTTCGAAACGGAAGGTCGTAGAGCTTAGCGGAAAAAACCAACGGATTGCTCTCAACGAGATCTCGCGATTGGTGGTATATTTTTTGGTCCTAGGTCAACATTTGACCTACTTTTGACCGGTCAAAGGTCAAATTTTCGGAAAAATAGACTTTTTTCAACTTTCGGCGGCGATTGCGGCAAAGCGGTGGGAGATATCGACTTGAAACCTTCACTATCGTGTTCCTTGATCAATTCTCTATCGTTTGGTATGTATTTCGTTTCCCTAGCTCTAAAAATGGCGCGTTGGGAGCGCCGGAAGTCGGCAAGGTCACAGTCGGCGGCAGAAATTCGAAAAATCAAAATTTAAATTTTTGAAATCTGATTGTATTTTTGGATTTGGGAAGTCCATTTGCTCCCTATAGAAGCTAATATTGCTGCATGTTCCCATTGAGGTGACAAGAATTAGCAAAATAGTGGTTCGGGCGCTTTTCAAAAATAGTACCGGACGCTGTTCCTCTTGTGACGTCATAGCTCCGTGACCTGACCTGACCCGGTCAAATTTCTTATACCATATGATAGCCAATACTTGCCCCAACATGCATGGGAAGTTTCATCACGATCCATCAACCGATGTCCGTACCACCGGCAGGAAACCTCGGGCGTTGGCACTCAGTTTGTGAAAATCCGGCCGGAGGCTGTACCTCTTATGACGTCATAACTCCGTGACCTGACATGACCCGATCAATTTTTTTCGGCAAAAGATGCGCAAAGGTTGCCCCAGAGGGTATTGAAAATTTCAGCCCGCTACGACAAGCCGTTTAGCGTGCACTTCGAAAAAACCTCAGGGGGGGGTTGATACAACCCCCCCTAGGCGTTCTAGGGTTAAGCCCCAATAAACAAACAAACAAGAGCCACCCGTTCGGTTCCACATCTGACATCCGTCTTCGTTATCAGAAGGTACTGCAGACGTATAAGCATAGACGACTCGAGCTGATGACTACCTCTGAATCGAGATGTATGATGCGGTTATTTGATAAAAAGAAAGAAAAAAAGAGAAAAAGTTGACATCTCTTCGACATGCAAATTGTGGTGAAGCCTATATATGCTTATTAGTTTAAAGCTATTGCTAATATATATTTATTTTTGGATTTCGCGTCATTCAAATGTCGAGGAAAGGTCAACTGTTTCTCTATTTTATCTCTATTAGCTTCATGGTGTTTCTCGCAAGAGCGCTCCAAAGAATGGTGATGCATATTTTCATTGGTTGAAAAGACTTTCATGCGGTGTATTTTTAAAGTCTATTCATAAAGGAAATTATTTTTACCTAGCCGGATCCTAATATACTTCTAATATACGTTTCAAACATTTGCTACATTACATTGAGGCTAAAGAACATCGTAACATCGTTTAAGTAAACAAGAGAATGCATGTAAATTATTTCGTTACAGAGCATGCCACAGATAACAGTAGTACAGTAGTACAGTAGAAGAGTAGTACTACTGTTATCTGTGAGCATGCATATTGCATAATGTAGCTAACAAAAATGGACATGAACATTTTGAATGTAATTGTACCAATAGTTGGAATGCCATAAATCTCGAATTCGATTTGCAAAAATAGAAACACGTTTTAAGTATAAGTTTGTTTTTTCTGGTCAAAGCCTCACACATTACTTGTGTAAACCTCAAAAAGACATGTAAATTCTCAAATAAACAAAACCACCATCTAACCTTTTTTACTCACCAATCTGCTGAGCTGCGTCCCGTCGCTGCTATATCGGTCAGTGGTGCTGCGCGGGGGTCGGAGGCCGGGTCAGGCCGGGTCGCGGCGTCTCGCTGCTGGTCGGGCTCGGTGCGGGAGGAATCTGACGGCGCGGGGGGCCAGCGACGGTCACTGCAGCGCGTCCGGCCGACCCGATAGGGCGGGCGCCGCCGCCGAGCCGTGTCACCGAGCGGTGCTGGTGACCGCCGTCACCGAGCGCTATCGACGCCCTGGTCACCGCTGACCTTCGGCGGCCAGTCTGGAGCTGCAGTCTGGACCCAGTCTGTAGTGAGACAGCTCCCAGTCGGTGCCCAGATAGCAGTCGGACAGATGCCACACAAAAGCCAGTCTGCAACCAGTCTGCAGTCATTCAGTCAGTCCTAGCTACTTCTGTAGCTAGTCTGTAGTCAGTCTACAGCTAGTTAATCTGTTACCAGTCTGTAGTGAGTCTGGAGCCAGTCTACAGACAGACAGCTGTCAGTCTGTAGCCAGTCTGCAGTCGAACAGTAAAGTCAGTCCAAAACTAAACAACAGCAAGTCTTTAAGTCACTTGCAGTCAGCACCCAGACAGCAGTCCAACCGAAATTCGGTCCGAAAAACAATCGATCCTTTTATACGCGCTTCTGATTAAACCGCAAGACCAGAAATCGGAGAAGGGCCATAAATCGCGGAGTGGAAGCGCGAACCACGAGGTCAAGGGTTAGCCCAGATCTGTTTACGCGTTAACTGTTCGCATTACGCTCCAAAGAGTTTTTGCTCTAAACTGCAACTGTGACGCTAACCAGGTTGACGTTAATGCTATCGCGGAACCGGCTTGCGGTGACAGATCCTCTGGCCCCTATCACGCAGCGCTTTTATAACTCGCCGTTCGGGTTAATTGCAAACGGCGATGTGGCTGGCATGTTTACGGTATGATTGTGCGCCGCCACGCGCCAAGTGAAGATTGAGTCCATTGTGCGTCGGGAAGGAGCAGATAATTGGGAAAGGTAGAAGACTGCTGCCATTCCGACCCAGCCTCACCTAGTGGTGATAATGAACAGGACACGCCTCCAAAGATTGAGTCCGAGAAAGCTTTTAGCGAAAATCATTCATCGTGATTTTGTCGGATCTTTGCAAATTGGCTCGCAAAGACATCGATGATATTTTCAGTCACAAACTTGCATTACAGACTAACGGCTATATAGTGTTTTTCTGGTTCGATTTTGACTGAGCACATGCAGTGGTGACTTGGTGGTGACTATATGAACTGACTAAATCCATTCTTTTTATTGTCCGTGGTTAGAGAAAAAGAACAATGGTCCCCAGATGGTGAAAAGACTCATCCCATGACGGTACCGACCAGTCGTATATGTAAGGGATTTGGAAACTATAAGAAGCAATCCTAAAATACCAATAATTGATTCAAATAGTTTTTGTCAACAGTTCAAGAAGGTAGTGAATTTGTGAATTCGCTTAATTCGCTTATTTGCTTTTTGTGTGGCTGTCTCAAACTGATATGATAGCAAATAAAAGTCAAGGCTATACTTAATTAAAAGCAGCTTATCACACCTAGTTATGCCAAAGGCTCTCAGCCGATCCTGCGGCCGCCTTTCATCTGTATGACGTCACTGAATGACACAGCGGTGACATCACAGCAGAGGCAGGGTGAGGTGGCGGTTACACTCAGAAGGAGCGGCCTGTGGTCAAGGTCACTCGGCTGATCCCAAACGTAAACATCATGACTCATGGCCGGAACTGAGACTGCATCATATCCTCAGTCCGCAGTCGTCAACACCGAGTTGGTAGCAGAGTTTCTAAATTAGTCCTTGCATGGTGATGTGTTATTCCAAGTAAATGGCTTCTGAGACACTGTCATAGAAAATAGGGAAACCATTTTTCCGTTGGTTGTGGTAGTCAGTCTCTGTTAGGTCTGTTTAGCCTCGAATAATTCTTATCTTTTTCTTGCATAAAATACATGCGTACAAATGACCTAATCATGTTTTCAGCTCTCAGTCCAAGCAGACGGTCAACACGTGCACACAAGCCTACCTGATTTCTTCCGTGGTCCGTGCTCTCTTCCTTCCACTAGTACACCAGATCCACCCTCCACGTCGTTCGCCCCGGCCACACTGCCGACTCGGGCCGGCGGGCCACCCCCCCCCCTCCCAGAGGGGGGCGTCTGTGACGTCACGCACGGGTTATTGTTCGGCACGTGCCGGCGACGGGCGGCCCCCATAGACGGCCGGCCGGGACAAAACACACCACGTCTGTCTGACAGGTCTATGGCGCCCGTATCCGCGCTGCACACGAGAGGAGCTGGGCCGATAGTCAATCGGGAGGCCGATATATCGGCGAATGTGGATGAAGGCGGTGAAAACAGGCTTCGTGGAAAATATAAAGAAGTAATTTTGGTTTAGAAAATGGAAATACAGCTGCTGCATCGAACCCCCAGAGAAACCATGCCTGAAACACAGTGTGGATTATCAACAAATGGAATTGCTTCTTGGAAATATTGTGCTGCTCAGTCGAGTCGAACAACAAAAAGTTCTGACTTCTGATCTCGAGAAGTGTTTACATCTTAGTCGGCTTTGAGGAAGGCAAACATGGAAATAATGTAATTATGTTGTCCATTCGTAGCGCCGGGACTTTAAGAATTTGTGTGTGCAGTTGCATATAGAGCCCAGGTGTTGGAGCTGTTTTCTATGACTTGTAAGATTTGCGTCTATAATGATCTCTTAACCCGCGCCGGGCCGGGGGGGTGTTTGAACACCCCCCCCCTGCGGTTTTTCGCAGATATCTAAAAAACGGCGGCGCTCCTTTTTGGCACACCTATTTGTGCATTTTTTTCCGCACATGTTGTGAAAAGTTCAGACCCAGGTCGCCTTACGTCAGGTCACCAGGTCACGCCAAGTGACCTCACCTCAGAAAAAGTAAGAATGCTCGTCATAGATACACCGATTGATTGATTGCCCTCAAACTTTCAGCGATTGATTAGAACAACATTATCTATAAAATGTATATCTCGAAATTTTGATATCGGTGACCTGAGGTCAGGTCAATTTTGCGGCCTCCCCATTATCCCTCGCCCCGTTGGGGGGGGGCCATTTTGGCCCCCCCCCCTGTGGTTTTTCCTGAATAGCAAGAAAACGGCGGCGCGCAGCGCCGCCAAATTTTTAGTACCTTCCCGGGCATCAATTTGACACCTTCACACCAAATTTCAAGTCTTAGGTCACCTTAGGTCAGGAGTTATTGAGGTCAAACTGAGGTCATGTTCGAGCAAAAATGAGCAAAAAACATGCAATCTTGAAACGCTCACCAAATCTACAGTTATCAAGCAATTTCAAAGTTCTTTATATGGTCTAGTAGACAAAAGGCGGCGCTACAAAACTGCTATCTCGAATTTTCAAAATTTTTGGTTTTTGACCAAAAAAAATCAAAAAATTGATTTTTTTAGAAAAACTTTGAAAAAATCCAAAAATTTTCCGAATTTCGAAAAAACCGGAATATATGTGATAGTCCCAGCGCTCTTCTATATACATACCAAATTTCAGATCGATATCTCGTTTTTTGGCCAAGTTATAGCGAAAAAACTGTTCAAAAATGATGACGTCAAATTTTTGAACTCAATTTTTAGCAATTCTAGACCTTGTACGGCAAAACAAAGACCACCATTGAACTCCCCGTGACGAGCTGCATCGATTCGATACCCATTTTATGCAAAAATATTAACTTTGAAATTTGACCTAATTTGACCTGACCTTAACCTGACCTTGACCTGACCTTGACCAAAACGTGATCTAAGCTGGCCCCAAAGGCTGCCTGACCCATATAATCGCATTTGTCATGTAAAATGGACCATAAAACATGTATCACACGACACTTTCATATTGTGACCCCCCCGTGACCTGACCTCTGTGACCTGACCTGGTATCAGTGACCTCAAATAGCAAAATATGTGTTTGAAGAACATTTCCCCATCGATGATTTTCAATGAAATGCATTTTACTCGATTTTACAACGCATTTCTTGAAGTGCCTATAAACGGTGAAAATTGGACCTTTGACCTGACCTGTGACGTCATCGGTTTGACCTAGGTCAATAAAATTGGGTCACAAGGTAGTTCCCCGTTGGGGCTATCCAACGCCGTTTACCGCTTGTCGCTATGTTGCGTGGTTCTCGAGATCTTAGGGGGGGGGGGCAAAATGGCCCCCCCCCCAACCGGGCGCGTTGCTCGGCAGAGCCCAACGGGGCGCGGGTTATAAGTCAATGGGAGAAAATTGAAAAGCGTCTGTTTTGCACGAACGCTATTCTAGACACACTCAAACATCGAGATGTAGGTGAAATTGACACACTGAACCGGAAAATGGCACTGTGACCCATGGTTATGTCTCCGAGGTCATCTCAGGTCACGAACAGAATCCAGAAAAAAAAAACAGAAAACAGAACAGTTTTTTTTTCGCTAATTACTTCTGATAGAGGCATGCTAGAGCGCTGAAAATGCCTTAGATGTGTTTGGCTCGACGTTCCGGATCGACTGACATGCAACATGACCTTTTCCGGCCAGGTCATGACCTTGACCTGAGGTCAAATTTTCAAGTTGACCTTTCAAGGTCAAATCATAGTTCATTCGACGCGTCTCGACGAGAGGAACACGATGCTGGCAAAAGTAATGTCATTGCTTTTTTGAGTCAAAAGTTATTGCCGAAAATATACTTTTCGTAAAAACGGCTATTTTTGGAGTTTTTGCCCTCTGGAGGCTAAACCGTTGAACTGAGGTCAAACCTGAGAGCATTACTCAGAAAGGTCCTGAGGGCTATCGAATGCGCTTTTCCGCGGCGCTGTAGTTCAATCGGTTCCCAAGATAGCCGTCGGCAGTTCTCTCTCTCTCTCTCTCTCTCTCTCTCTCTCTCTCTCTCTCTCTCTCTCTCTCTCTCTCTCTCTCTCTCTCTCTCTCTCTCTCTCTCTCTCTCTCTCTCTCTCTCTCTCTCTCTCTCTCTCTCTCTCTCTCCTCTCTCTCTCTCTCTCTCTCTCTCTCTCTCTCTCTCTCTCTCTCTCTGTCTCTCTCTCTCTCTGTCTCTCTCTCTCTCTCTCTCTCTCTCTCTCTCTCTCTCTCTCTCTCTCTCTCTCTCTCTCTCTGTTTCCCCCTCACTCTCTCGCTCTCTTTCTCTCTCGCGGGCCCAGCCCGAATAGTGCGTAGCTTCAGCACTGCCGGCGCGCAGAATGGCTAAATGCGACAACAATGAAGAGTAAACGGTGTACATCAGAGCCGGTTTGCCAGCAGTGGACGGTATTGGGGGGGGGGGGGTCTGGCGAGCCCCGTGGCCACGTCAGCTTGACTGTTGTGTTTGGCGCGGCCGGCCTGCGCGTCGTACCTCCTCTGACACGGCACGGAAGGAGGGGCTGATGGGAAGGATGAGACGATAACGCAGAGATGACGGAAGGTAGGGACAGGAAGACATTCAGCGGCGAAACACCAGGGGAGTTACCGCTGCCGCTATGGCCTCTTCTCAGTGGCGCTCAAATACTGTTAGCGCGAAAAGTTTCATATACCTACCCGATTGGTATGAGTACGGAATTCGTCTCCTGTAAAATCGTCGCCTGGCAAAAACGGCTGCCATTTTATAGCCATTGTCATCAAAAGGTAGCCTCTTTCAAACATCACTGAAAGAGCGCGTCTGGCATGCCGTTGTAACTGAGCGGACTGTCAGGTGCTAGAATGTTCCAGGGTATTCTTGGTACCTAGGTACCGCAATAACATCTTCACAGCTCGTATTCATCCAGTCGCCCATAAGATCCTCACTGAAGTCTCCCGTGTCTGTAGAACGCCGGGATTCACATGGTCGCAGCTAGTTCTTAAGATAGTACATACCATTTCCTATTAGCTCATACCAATGGGCATCGCTCATTCTCAATAACAACAGCCAAAAGCATCGACTGGTGCACATAATCACCAACTTCATCAATAATTCATCTGAAATTTTCAACAAAACATACTCGGCTTGACAAATGAACGCAGGCAACCAACTCGCACGCCTGCTCCCATGCCCTCTGTCATCCCCCTATCATCCCCCATGTGTGATGCTACAGACCACGTGGCTGGGCCCACCACCAATCTAACCAACAGACTTTCGAGTATACTCGTATCCGGTGGGTAGGGCACAAGCGTAAATGGAAGCAAGCAACCCAGCACCTCTGATGACCTTTTTTCTGGCCGTCATGTCCGAATCTAGTCAGTGACGTATGTTGTTCTTGCGTCACCAGCAGTGGCGGCGGAACACCTTCAATTAAGGTGGGGGGGGGGGCACTGCCGACTTTTGGTCCCATTCTTTCCATGCAACGCCCATAGGGCTGATGTCAAAATGCCAAAATCAAAGGGGGCACGGTGCCCAGGTGCCCCCCCCCCCGTCCCGCCGCCTATGGACTCACCAGCCATTATCAGTAATGGCCTGAGCGATGACGAGCTCAAGCATTTAATCGCCGTTTGACAGCAATTACGGTGATTAATTCGCCGCACGTGCTCGTCGAGGAGGTATTCTGGCGCGCCATAGCCGATATTAGCACGGAAAGTGCGGTGTTCGCCATGCCGGGGTCATGTTCTAGAAAAACATATAGAGGAATTATGCTAACCATAGGGATTGGGTCCTCTGAATCAGACCGTGCTGTGTGTGGTGAGAGTAAGACAGACAGACAGACAGACAGACAGACAGACAGACAGACAGACAGACAGACAGACAGACAGACAGACAGACAGACAGACAGACAGACAGACAGACAGACAGACAGACAGACAGACAGACAGACAGACAGACAGACAGACAGACAGACAGACAGACAGACAGACAGACAGACAGACAGACAGACAGACAGACAGACAGACAGACAGACAGACAGACAGACAGACAGACAGACAGACAGACAGACAGACAGACAGACAGACAGACAGACAGACAGACAGACAGACAGACAGACAGACAGACAGACAGACAGACAGACAGACAGACAGACAGACAGACAGACAGACAGACAGACAGACAGACAGACAGACAGACAGACAGACAGACAGACAGACAGACAGACAGACAGACAGACAGACAGACAGACAGACAGACAGACAGACAGACAGAC